GAATAAATGATCGAGATGCTGACAAGCCTCAGGACCTGCCTCTGGGAACCTTGGGGTTTCGCAGTGTGCTCCTGGGGTGGAGGTGGGGTTAGTTTGCAGGGTTGTCTCACAGACTGGAGGAGACAGTAGGTTTGGGAGCCAGAGACTTAGGACGGGTCAGACACAGATGGGACTTATATTTCTTATGCTCTTGGGCTCCCAGGGAAGCAGGGGGTTGGGGCTAGGAGGGCCATGGGCAGAGGGGCAATGCAGAGGCTGCTGGTTATCTCCACTAAGCCCCATCACCCACCGAGGCCTCAGTTTCTCCATCTGATACATGAGGGTGAAATGATCCACAGAGATTCTTCTAACGCAAAAGGTCAATGAGCATAGAAAGTAGAATACCAGGTTCAAGGCCACAGGGAAGTTTCAATCTCAACCACAGAGTGCAAGTCCACTTTTTTTTTTTTTTTTGTAGGCAGGGTAGGGTGAAAAGATCTCCTTTCTCTATTTCCCAATCTTTCCAGTGCTACCTTCGAGATTCTTAACTGTTTCTGTGTTTTGTATCGTCATATTTATTTATTTAGTGGTACTGGGGATTGAACCCAGGAATACTCTATCACTGAGTGACATCCTTAGCCCTTCTTAGTTCTTATTCTGAGACAGGCTCTCACTAAGTTGCCCAGGCTGGCCTCAAACTTGTGATCCTTCTGCCTTGGCCTCCCGAGTTGCTGGGACTATAGGTGTGTGCCTTCATGCTCAGCTGTATCATTATTTATTTAATAAATTGCTTTAGATGGACTCATTTTTTCCCCCTACAATTCAATGATTTTTAGAACATGTGAAATTTTGCAAGCAGGAGGAAGTTAGGAGGTGGGGGAGCCCCAGGTGCTCTACCCCCCCCCCCCCCCCCCCCCCCGTCCTGCAGCTTCTTTTGCCCCTGACCTCAACAGGGTAGCCTGTCTCTCCCGGGATCAAAGTTCACTGGGCGTTGTCTTCTCCAGGGAGTGGAAAAGCCCTGGCTGTGGGGACCCAGGCACCAGAGGCTTCTGGTTAATTTGCTCCCAGGCCCTTGAGCTGATATCTGACTGCAGGAGGTGTTGCTTAGAGGTGTGGGCTATGGTGTCTTCCTTCTTTTGGCTCCTGGTTGTGGAAGCCTCAAGGGCCAGAGCAGGCAGAGAACCTGGCTATCCTCCCCTTCAGCCTCCCGAGCCCGTATGCAGACTTGCAGGTTCCCATGACTTGGCTGTGGCACTGGTAATCATACGTGCCCTCTAGGGAGAGCCCCAAAGACTCTGCATTGTTGCATGCATGTGACAAGGAGCGACTCTAAGTAAAAAGAAAAAAATACGGCGTTTAAGCCATTGCTTCCAACTGAGTGCTATAAAGTGAAGGCTAAATGCATTTGAAGTTTCCCTGTCGTGTATGTTCATATATTACAGAAGGACACATGGCAACATTCTCCTATTTGATTAGTGATGTGTGCTGTTTCATAAAATAAAAACTCTTGCAGGAAAAAGGAATAAAACTGTCTCCCTGGGCCCAGCATGGCTAATGGAGGAGCGAGTGTCCCCCTCCCTGCAGCGCCCCAGGTGGGGTACAGCATGAGGAATCCTTTCTAGAATGTTCTTCTCAGCAGAGGTTCCTGCATGGGACCAAGCCCTAGACATTACTGCCAGGCTGCAGGGAGGAGGTGGGGGAGGAAGAAGTGAGAGGCCCCACCAGGGGACCATCACACATTCCACAAACCAACATGTCTCAAAAAGTCCCTGTCATGAAACAAAGCAGAGAACTGTTCTAGGTAAAGGGAAAATAAAGTGATATAGGTGGTGGGGGGCCCCAGGTGCTCTGTCTACCCCCCACCACCTCAGCTGCTCTTGCCCCTGACCTCTACAGGGTGTATGTGCTCATTATTTCCGGAAGCCACTGCTCACCTAGCCTGTCCCTCCTGGATAATAAAATATAATACGTAAAATGTGATTAGACCCAGGCTAAAAATTTATCACAATGGAGACTTTTTTGGTTTGGTGGGGGGAAAATCTGAATACGGACAGGATGTTAGAATTAGGAAATTATTTCTAATTTTTTTAGCGTGACAATTGAGATTCTGTAGAAGAAAAAAATCTTATCATTAGGAAATAATGCAGGTGAAAGAATTTAGGGACAAAGAGTCATGATTTCTACAACTTACTTTGAGGTAGTTTCACAAAATGGCACATATACATGAATTTATGTATGTGCATGTGTATATACACAGATAAAAGAGATATCAGTACAGAAAGCGAGAAAGCAAACAGGCAAAATGTTAACCCTCTAATCTCGGTGGAGAGTTTTTTAAGAGCACTTGTTGTATTATTCTTTTAACTTTTTGGTTTGTGTGAGTACTTTTCCATAATGGGCCAAAATGACCTTGGGTCTAGTTTACGGGCTGAATACCTATAGAAATATTGATTCAAAGCCGGCATGGTGGCACATGCCTGTAATTCCGGTGACTTGGGAAGCTGGGGCAGGAGATCACAAGTTCAAGGCCAGCCTGGACAAATAAGTGAGACCCTGTCTCAAAATAAAAATAAAATAAAATAAAATAAAAAGGACTGGGAATGCAGCTCAGTGATAGAGAGCCCTGGCTTCAATCCCCAGGACAGCAAAAAAGGAAAAAAAAAAAAAAAGAAAAAGCTGACAAGTTCATTCAAACTCAACTCCATGGTCAGATCTGCTTGCGGTTTCTAACCTGGTGCTGGAAACTCTGCCTTCTCTGCTGAAGACACCAACGGCCGAGGTGACCGTCCTCCTCTCAGGTCTGCTTATCCTGCTTGGCTGTGGCAAAGGCCACATCCTTTTAAAGGAAGGTCATTTTGACAATCTCGTATCTACTGACCTTTAAAGAATATGAATCAAGTCACATGCCATTTCTGCACCCTGCACCCCCCGCCCACCCACCGCACTCTACCCCCCATACTGGGGATTGAACCCAGGGCTTCTCATCTGCTTCGGCAAGTGCTCTACACCTGAGCTATAGCCCAAGTCTTATTCTTTTACTTTGAGACAGAGAATCACTAGTTTGCCCAAGGCTGAACTTGAACTTGTCCTTTTCCTGCTTCAGCCTCCTGAGCAGCTGGGTCCTTTCTATCTTCACTGACACAAGCACCCATCTAGCACAATGTCCTCTTCTATAGCTGAGAAACTGGGGCCCAGAGAGGGAAAGGGGCTGAGTGGAGATCACACAGTAAGTTACTGGCAGAGCTGGAGTTAGCCCCCAGGTCTCCAGAGAGCCAAGCTGAGACTCATTCCTTCCAGCCGCTCATCTTTAGAGAGATGGGGTTGGTCCTGGACATTTGCACGGCTTCCTCTCGCCACGCGGTCAGGGAGACTTCAGCTTTACATTTTATTCTAAAGCCAGATGCAGCCCACAGAAACTGAGAAGCAGCAGATCAGAGTGGAGAGAAGAGGTGCTGAGTAAGCCCGTGACCACAGCCAGAGGTGACAGTCAGAAGTGGCAGTGAGGGAGGTGACAAAGCGGACAGCAGAATTCAGAGAACCCCGAACCCTGGAATCTTCAGTGCAAGGGCAAACAGTCCCAGGACATCCCACCCACAGACAGAGGCCTGCTATTCCAGAGAACTAAAAATTGGGGGTACCGTGTGCATTACGCCCACTAGGTGGATGGGGCTTTTGTGGGCCATGAGGGCTGACTTTGCAGTGGAGCCCTGGGTGGTGGTCCCTCATAGGTGCAAATCCCCTCCCAAGTGAAAGCACCTCTTGAGGAGAGCAGGGGCCATCCTGTGACTAATCTCGCATGTCAACAGTAGGTGGACTTCAGTTTGAAGCCAGGCTGCCACTGACTCGCTGTGTGCCCTTGGACAACTTACTGAACTTCTCTGAGCCTGTGTGAAACGGACAGTCGCAGTGCCTGCATCCCAGGTGGACACAAAGGCCGGATGATGTTGACATTGGCTTAGAGTTGGTGGTCCAGTAAAGTGGAAAGAGTGGGCTCTGGGGGAGGAGAGTCCAGGCAGAGGAAGGCCAAGGGCCACAGCTCAGAGGCAGGGCGTGCCTGACATGTCCAGGGAGCCTCAGGGGACCCCAGGGTGGCCAGAGCAGAGTTGAACAAGAGGACAAGGAGCAGTAGGTGAGATCTCGAGGTGGGGTGGGGAGTCACATTGTGTTTAATTTCACCTCCTCTATGTTCTGCTGGGGTTTAGTGTCTACTTATGGAAAGATACTGATTTCTCATTTGTTGCTGCTACAAAGCTGCCCCTTTAAAATAAGGGAAAAATATCAATTTAAGGAAATAGTAAGAACATCACACAGTCCACAAATAAGCCAGACCCAGGAGGAATTCCCTTGGATGACTGCAGCTGGGCCCTGGGGCGCGGATCTCTCCCTGGCCTTCGCTATTCAGGACAGCCGGGTTTGGACGGAGGCTGCCGGGCCTCTGGCCACCTCAGTCACCACCAGAACCTTGAATCCCACTCTTGACCTCTGGCCTCTGAGATCAGGAGAGGCTCCCGGGTCACCTCCGCCCACTTTTCAGATGGAGACACTGAGGCTCAGGGAGGCAGAGAGCCACTGGGAGTTTGGAGGGAAGAAGTGGTCACAGATTTCTGTCTGACTCATGGCCCCCTCTGCCCCCACCCCAAATCCAGACACTCGGACACACAGATTCCCCAGAAACCTCTCCTGCTGCCCGCAGCTCTGAGGAGCCCCCTTCGTGGCTTCCGTGCAGCCCACCGTGGACACCTGCGGGCCAGGGCTGTGCTCTGGAGGCTGGCCGGGAAGACAGCTGGGCCTGATGGTGTCTGGGTTCCCAAGAGGCAGCTCTTACCAGCCACGCCAGGTGCTGAGGGCTCAGGGCGTGGGCCGGAGGGAGGGGCCAGCCCACCTCGGCCACCGCGCCTGGCACAGATGGTTCTAGCAACAGTGCCATTTGCCCCTTCCCCGTGGGCGTTGGCTCCTGTCTGTGCCAGGGAGACTGGGCCATGTGAGTTCTGAGGTCCAGGGGCGCCGGGGGCTGAGCCTCTTCACCCCTGAGTTTTTTCTTCACCTTGAGTCACATCCTCGTAGGTCGGTGGAGGCCCCAGGGACAGGCCCCCGAATTCCAGTGGCATGTCGGGAATGAGGGAGGCATCGTCCTTGTCCTGCAAAAGAGGAGTTTCTGTCCCTGCTGCTGCTCATGCATGTGGTGTGACTGGCTGTTCCCAGAGCCCTCCCCAGGGGCCATTTTGAAGATGAAAACTGAAGATCCAGAGACTTCCGTGGGGCTGAGTGACCGTTCCCAGCCTCCCTGGTCTTGAGGAAGGAGCTGGGGAAAGGCCTGCAGGGGTCAGTGGACAGGGCCCTCATTTCTGGTCCTGCTACCGGTGTCCTGGCCACCACAGGTAAGTCACTCGCCATGTGCGCTGCCTACACAATGCTCAGGAAGGAGCGGCACATGCCACTGCGGGACCCCGGCCTTCTCTCTCCCCTTTCTGAGCCCGCTGCTGCCTCTTGTCCCCATCTTTTGAGGGCTCACCTCTGCAGACTGGCGGTCCCCACTGTAGGCTACGACGGCTGTGGGTCCCGGCAGGAAGAGCTCCAGGAAGGTGAAGCAGAGCAGGCCCAGCTCCAGCCTCTGCATGTGGCTCTGGGAGGGGAGCAGAGGGGACACAGGACCAGGTCCTGCTGGGTTTCCGCTGTTGAGAGCCACAGCCGAAGGGGCCCCAGCAAACTTCCAGCTGCCAGCAAACTTCCAGCTGCCGGCTGATGATTGGCTCACAGCGGCCCCAGCAACATCTAGCTGATTGGCTCCTCTGCGGTGATGCTCATTGGACTGTTTCCCTGCCCTTTCAGACCACGGAGCTGCTCACTGGGGGACTTTTTTGGCTCCACCCACGTGACCCAGTCAATCGGCCTCAAGAGCAGGAGGATTGTGGGAGGTGGGGAGAAGCTTGGGTGAGAGAGAGAGGCTTGTGGGAAGCCGGTGGTGGCAGTTGAGGCTCTGAGGGTTTTTCCTGAGAGGCTGTTTTGTTTGGCGTGTGTGGTTCTAAAAATAAAGTTAGTTTCTTTTGAAAAAACAAAAACAAAAACAAAAAAAACAATCTTTAATATCTATAACTAAAACATTCTGCTTCTCTCATGTGGGCCAGGCAGGGCAGGAGTCAGATCAAGGCAAAGTGGCAAGAGCCTGGGGGGGGTGGGGGGAGTGTGCGGGGAGGGCGGGGCGGGGCTCTGGGGCTGGGGGTGACCTTTGCTGCTCCACATCTGGTTCTTGATGAGCTCTTGCTAACGTCTGAGGGCTGGGGAATCTCAGGGGGTCCCTGGGAGAACTGAAGGTGGCCTTAGGGTCATCTGAGCCAACTTTTCTTGACAGGTGGTGATACATGGGACAGAAGGAGCACCCTTTACAGTGGGGGAGGGGAGGAGCGGGCTGAGGACCATGGTGCAGCTGGGTGACAGCTCCCAAGGCTGCTGACATTCAGTAGGGACCAAGTGTGTGCATGTGTGTGCACATGCGTGTGGGTGTGAGTGTTGGGGGAGATAAGGAAGAGCGGGTGGCCACGGTGAGAACCTCGAGAACCTGGCCCAGAGGTACTGGCCTTGGCATGGCCAATCCACCTCCTGCTGCATAGGCAGCTGTGGTGTGGCTAGCGGGGCTTGGAGTCACGGACCCAGCTTTGGGTTGTCACTGCATCCTTGACTTGCTGTGGGGCCCTAGTCACCCAGTTTAGCATCTTGGGCCTCAGTGTTCACTCCTGTAAAGTGGGAATAGCAAAGTAGACTTGGCCAATTCTACAAGGCTGCTGGGAGGCTCGTAGGTGACGGATGTCACATTTAGAACATGGGCTGGGGAGCGGGCAGTTCTAGGTCCTGGCCTTGGCTTTGTAACTAACTCGCTCCTTGATCTCAGACAGCCCCCCTGGACCTCAGTTTGTCCTTCTATAAAAGAAGGGTCAGACTCCGTGACTCGGGGCCCTGTTCAGTTCCCTGATGCTGATACAGGAGAAGGCTGGCCCTCCCCTTCCACTGTGCCTTGGGAGCCTTGGGGACGGAGCAGCTGAGGGCTCAGCTGCCTGCACCTGGGCTTCAGAGGAGGTTTCCCAAGAGCTGGAAGCTCCCTCTCAGCCAAGCCCGGGGCAGCGGCTTCCTTGGAGTCAGAGGACACTTGGGGTCTGGGCACTCACTGTGGAGTTGGGGTACGGTTTCCAGATTGGCCACGGAAATGAATTCTCCAGAAATAAATCCTTGGCGATGACGAACAGGCCAGCCAGCACGCAGAAGAAGCTGATGAGGTTGGCGGTCAGGCACAGCCCCTTCTGCAAGCCAAGAGAGAGGCCGAGCCAGTGTCCAGTGTCGGGAGACTCGGGTCTGGGTGCTCCTCCCAGGCCTGCTGGGAGCTTCCTCTGTGACTCCAGAGGGACTCGCCTGTCTCTGGGCCCGAAGCTGCTCACCACACAGGAGGCTTTGAGCTACTGACCACTGAGGAGGACCCAGCCAGCTTTCTCATGCTGAGAACCCAACAGCTGATACAGGTCCACAGAGCTTGGTATGGAGGACTTCCCATTGCCACATCCCCTCAAAGCAAGCCCCGACCATCCTATACCAGATGGCCAGGGACTGGACCTGAATGAGCCACCCCCCAGGAAAGCACACGAGTATCCCCGAAGGTGTCCCAGGCCTCACACCTAGTGTCTGCACGCCCTCTCTGCTCATCCCACAGTGGTCCTGTGTCCACCACCCTCTTGGGTCAAGCGTTATTCCAAGAACATGATGCCAAATGCAAACCCTTATCAAAGGAAAGACTGTGAACCCGTGGAATCGACAAAGTTTCATATTAGAATGGATTTCTTTGCAGTAAGAGCTCCCTGTGCTCAGGTGTCGGAAGCGGGAGTCTTACGGTTCTCAGTGCAGGCAGGCGAGGCCTGGGGATGGGCAGGTCTTGCTGAGCAGCCTCTGCTGGGCTCAATGCCCCAGCTGCCTCCTATTCTCTGTCTCTGAGGGAAGTAGGGGACAGCCACACCCAGTCCAGGCTGAGGGGCACAGACATGGCAGGACCAGGCCAGGGATTCCGGGGCAGAGGGCGGGGAGGGGCAGGAGGACCTGCCATGGGTGGAGGCCATGGAATACAATATGCAGATGTGGTCCTTCCGTCCGTCATCTGTCCGTTTCCACCCACTCAGTCTGGTGGGGGATGCCTGCCCTGCGCCCGCCTGGACTACTCTTGGCTACGGAGATGCTCTTACAGCCGCTGCCCATGCAGAATGTAGCATGGGCAAAGAGCTGTGGGGACACAGAGGCTGGCAGGAAGACCTCCAGGAGGACAGATGTAAGACTGTCACAGATGGGAAAGGACAGGGAGCCCGGGCCGCACAGGCAGGACCACGGTCCCATCTGCCTGGCAGAGGAAATCCAGGTGCGGGCTGGGGCCTGCTGACATTGGAGGCAAGCTGAGCGCGGCCGGGGACCCGGGAAGGTTGACAGTAGTGGAATGGCTTGGAGGGACTTGTATTCCACAGCGATCCCTCAGGCTGCTGTGTGGAGAGCAAGCTGGATGTCCCCTCCAGGACAGAGTGACAGGGCCACCACTGGGGCTGAGGGAGGACAGGGGATGGCGAGAAAAGTGAGGAGCAAGGGGTGTCCAGAAGCAAGCCCCAGACTGGGGAAGGGAAGCAGACCAGGCGTGGTTCTCAAACTTCCCGCTTGGGGGACTTTGGCTTCTGGGAGGATGGCCACATAGTGACTGAGATCAAAACGCCAGCAAAGCTCCCTTCTAGACCGGAGGGACCAGGGTGCCGTTTCCTGCTGAGAGGATCAAAGCCTCTGGGCTCCTCTCCTCCCAGGCACCCTCACCCGCCTGCGTTTGGACCTTTCTGCTCAGGGGCCCTCTGCTGTTCTAGAGGCACGTGACTGCTCCCAGCAAATCCTCCTGAGCTGCCTGTCCAGTTGCCACTGCACACAGGTGACCTCAGGTACCCCCTGCTTGGGAGGGCGGGAATGATCTCAAGGCACCAACTCACCAGACAGGACTTGGGAAAGGTCACCACCGTTAATGCCGAGATCCCTGAAATGAGAAACTGCAGGCCCCATGGGAAAGTCAAGGGAGGGAGAAGATGGGCTTCTTGAAACCCACAAATTCCCCTCGCTCCACCCTCCAAGAAAACCACCCGCTGGTGGCAGGCGAGGAAGAGAACCTCTCCCCAGATAAAGCCAGCTCCTCCCTGGGCCTTGCACTTGGAACATCCTGCAGTGCCTCCGCTCCCCCTTCCCAAAACGTCTCCCCCCCCGCTGGGACCAACCCCCGCCCCCCCCACCCCCAGGCCTTTTCTGGATCCTGCAGCTGGAGGTTTCTAGCCTTCGGTGCTAAGGGCTCTGCGTATCTCTGTGCTCATTCCTTCAGATGTTTGCTGAGCACTTTTGTACCAGTCCTTGGGAGCAAAGGACCAACAGGCACCGTGTGTTTGGAAGGTTCTAGCATCATGTGATGAACTCCGAGGTGGGACAATGGGGACACAGGACTGAAGTGGAAGTGGGGTGTCTGGGACGCGTGCTCAAGGGCGTCCTGTGGTATTGAGACTTAGTGCGAAAGCTGTTCCCCCACAGGAGATTAGGGGATGGGGTAGGTGCCCTGGGGACCTGGAGAAACAGGGAACCTCAGAGAAATGGCTCCTGTCTCTGTCACTGGTCTCCTCCCATCTCCCCATCTGGTCACGGCTTTGAGAGGACAGTGTCCATGTGCTGCATCCCGTGGGCTCCTGCAGAATGACCCTGACTCGGAAGTCAGGCTCCAGCAATGTGCTGTGGGGTTCAAAGGCAGCCTGGCCGTCGGTGGAAGGGAGCTGTCCCCAGTCACACTGGCCCTCCTCCCTGCTGAATGCACATGTTCCGTCAGGGGAGGGGCCAGGGAGCCCTGGAATGTTCTGGAACTCAGGAGCCACAGGGCCTTGGAAGGGAGCTAGGGCCAGTGTGGCTGATGGTGGAAGTCGAGACGGAGAGACTGGAGAAAGGGGAGGCCCGCCCCAGCCTCCAGCCTCCATGCTAGGCCTCCCAGCCCGCCTCCTAACCCAGCCCCGGGCCGTGCTGACTCCTACTCACAGAGGCAGCCCCCCAGAATGGATACCAGCACTTGAGCACCACCAGGTGAAGATTCTTGACTCTGGTGATCATGTAACCCCCAAAGAACAGGTGAATCATAGCAATGGCGCAGTGGAAGACCTGGGCGGGAGGAGAGGGGGTGGCTGAGGTGGGGCACTTGGCGGCAGACCCCGGGGGAGGCCGTCAGTGACCCACTCCTGCCATCTCTAGTGCACTATCAGGGTCCTAGTCTGCAAGGAAGGACACTCCCCAGGACCCGCTGCAGGGGCTGCCAAGGCCCCATGCCGGCAGGGGCATCTGTCCCCGGGGCTGGCTCTGATGGCTGCCACCCTGGGCCCTGCTCACACCTCACAGGGCAGCAGGTGTGGGCAAATTCTCCTCCTCCTGATTTTTAAATTTTAGGATGAGCATTAAGCACGAAGCTGGAGACCTCTTCCTCCCTGTCTCCCGGCACCTCTGATCCCCTCTCCTCCCCACCCTCCCTCAGGGGCCCAGGGAGTGGACACTCACGCCCAGTTCCTGGAGAAGGTCGTTCTTCCAGGGCTTCTCCTGGGGCCTGTTTGGAACCAGAAGCCTGGGCTGGGTGCTGGTCCTGGGTGGATCTGTCTGCCCAGGCTGGGATGGGCTGAGGCCCTCCCATGGTGGGAGCTCCTCCATGACAGAGCTGGGGACAACTGCTCCCGTGGACTCGGGCTGGGGACCCTGGCTGTGGGCCAAGGAGAAAGGCCGAATCAGCTGGTCTGGTTTCTGAGGTTTGTACTTGGGTGAGATGACACTGGTCACTCCTGCCCTCTGACTGGGGCCGTTCAGAACAGTGCTGGCCCTGTCTGGTAGCCCCTGATCAACATCTGATCTGGAATAGTCTGGCCCCTGGGGATGGAGGTTAGCAGCTGCTCCCAGTCTTTCTGGGTCACAAGGACACAGTCCCCATCTACTGGGCCAAGTTGGGCCAAGTTGGTGGCAGGGGGGGATTGAGTTGGTGCCTTATTCCCCACAGCAATGCCCAGGCCTCCTAGGTTTGCAGGAATAAGGGAAGAGAAGGAAAGAAAACTGCTGAGGACTTTGTGAGAGCTAACCCCGAGTCAGGAGGTCAATACTGGACAGTATCAACACCAACATCACCAGCACTCGGTCTGTTCCAGGCCTGGGATGAGCATTGCGCATGCACCACCTGATTTTACCATCATTCTGGCACCAGGAGGCAAATACTGTCTTCACTCTCATTTCACAAGAGACTCTGAGAAGTGAAGCCACTTGCCCACGTTTGCTCAGCCAATAAATGACCAGGACTGGAAACATGGCAGGCTGGCCAGAGCCTGTGGGCATGAATTCTTCACGTACTGTTTGCTCTACAAGTGGAAATGAATGTTCTGGATATTTTAATGGGTACCAGAAAGGGAGGGGGAAACTGTGGAGAGGGCTAGAAGCTTGCCAATATGGACCTGGCCCTGACAGTGTGTACTGACACCACGGGGTGCATCAGCGCTTCGGGGGCTGCTGGGGAGACAAGCGGAAGCCTTCCTTCCTCAGGAGAGCAGGGAGCATGGGAGGGGAGCATGGGACCCGGCTTGTGGGATGGAGGTGGGCAGTGGGCTCCCCCTGAGGGCGGGCTCATCAGTGAATTCTTTACAGGCTGTGGGTGCTCTCAGGTTCTTTATCCTGGAAGAAATAAAATAAATGGGGGGGGGGGGGGGGGTTCTCCTTTGTTTTTTAAAGGGCCTGGGGTTTACAGGGGGGCCCGGGGGGAACACCCCCATTTTTTAGGTTTGGTTTTGTTATGTTTCCCACTGGGGTGCTGGAAAGAGCACCTTGGGGGGTTGGGAGGGACTAGTAGCCCAGGTGACTGTCGTGGACAGGGAAGAGAGGAAGGGACATTACCCAAGGGACATTGCCAGCATTGTGGAGGAGGCAATTTTGCAGGCCAACCTCCTTCAATTCCCAGGAAGTCAGTACTATTACATAGAGGAGGAGCCCAAGGTTCAGAGAAGTCCAGTGCCTTGGCCCAGGTCACACAGTGGGGAAGTGCCTGGGATTGGAACCGTGTATGGTCTGACTCTATTGCCTGTGCTCTTGGACCTGGGTTGCTTGGTTGATACCTCCACTGACCAGCAGTGACCGTGTGGGGTAGTGAGTATCTGGGCTCTAGAGAGGACAACCACCTGGACATTCACTTATGGTCACTGTGGTAGGGAAAGTGGTTCAGATCTCCAACAAGAATCCAATAAGATTATTCAAGAACACAGAGTAACCTTTCTCAAAGTATGTTCCATGGAGAATTGATCCCAACAGGTCTGCAATAAAAGGGTTTCATGGTCAAATAACTTTGGGAAACCCTGGATATCATTTTCCTCTTTCACTTCTTAATGGCTGTGAGGGTTCCCACAGGGGTGTACCCTTAGCATTAAGGGCATTTCCTGAACGGAATTGGCATACAACCCTTTTTCACATGGTCCAATGATTCTATGCAGTTGGTATTCTGGAGGGTCTGATTTTGGTCCAACTGACCTTAAACTTCCAAACCTCTGGTTCTGGAGGCTTTGATTTTTATTTTTTGACCTTCTTTGCAGCTTTCTTGTGGGATATGTACCACGGTGGAGGTGGGGATTGGCTCTGATCTCTCAGATTACTATCCACGGGAACTGTTTCTCTCCTGGGGTGGACGCGGCTCCAGGGCCTTCCTATAACAGGAGGAGAGGAGCTGCAAGCCTTTAGCAACCCCCCACCCCCACAGCTAGAGAATGCCAGAGGGAAGGCTTGGTGAAGTCTCACTGCCTCTGTCCAAGACCCAGGGTGAACTGAGTCCTGCGATGTGCATATCCTGTGGCCCCGGCCCACCGCACCTGCAGGGCTGCTTTGGGGTGAAGGTCGGCTGGCAGAATGGGGGCAGAGGGGAGGAAATTCCTTAGCATTGTCCCCTCCCCAGGGACCACAGTCCAGCCAGCCTGGCATCCCAGGGACACCGAGCAGGGTTTTGGTGCTCAGTACAGGGCCGTGAGCACCCTGGGTCCTGCACACTCCCCTTTGCTCCTGCGGCCCTGGGAGGGCAGGGACAGAGCTGGGCAGGAGCCTCTCGTCCCCCAGAAGAGCAGCAGAGTGGGCTGGACCACCAGCACCGAGAGGGGACAGGCCAGGGCCCCATCCTGGCTCTACTCCTGGGAGCCGTGACCTGGGTACGACTAGACATCTCAGTGTCTGTCTCTCCTCATCTGCACACAGGGAGCCTAGGGCCAGCCCTGGCGCATGGGCTGTGGGGGTTAGGAGAGAGGTCACAGATGCTGGGCCCGGCCCTTAGTCACCAATGTCAGCCAGCTTAGCGCCCATCTATCACATGCCTGGAATCCCGCCAGCTGGGCCCCACCTTGCCCTTGTTTGGCCTCTGTCAAGACGGGACACATCCCACCTCTGTCATTGGGAGTTGACAGTTTACTGCCTCCACCTGAATCCTGCCACAGCAAGAGGGGCGGGGGAGCGGGGCTCCTGGGGGTGGGGGAGGTGGTGGGGAGGGACGGAGAGCTCCCAGCGGATCAAGCCAGTGTCCTGAGAGCCCGGACTGCCGTTCACGGGTTTGTCTATGGAGTTCTGAACTGGACACCATAGCGCCCCTGCAGGAACCAGTGAGATCTGTCCATGGCAGGTCTGCGGTGGGTCATGCAGGAGGAGAAAACCTGGACATGAATAATGTGACCCTGGTCAGACTGTGCAGGGAAAGCCGAGAAGTCAGGGAGAGCTTCTGAGGGTGTGCGTGTGCGCGTGTGTGCGTGTGCCCCAAACAGAAAGGTGGCAATCAGAGGCTCCGAGTAGCACCATGTGATAGAGGCTGGTGGGGACCTTAGAGGATCGGGTTTCAGTGCTCAACAGTTAGAAAAAGGCTCGTGTATGTTCCAAGGCCACCCCCTTCAGTGCCTCAGGTTGGGGTCCTGGTGTAAAGGGGAGGTCACCTGCAAGGGGCCCCAGGGTCTGGGGGAAACAGAGTCCTCTGCTCTGGAAAGGGTGGTCCTGGACAGGTCCCTGTCCTCTGTGGTCCTCTGCTTTCTCCATACTGTCTCTGTGTGTATGTGTCTCCAGGACTGGATCAGAGCGGACGGAGGTTCCTCCCAGTTCTAAGGGCAGTGACTGGCAGCAGGATGGGCTCTCCCTGGGGCAGAGGCTGATGGTGCACCCACATTGCAGATCCTCCCCACAGCGTGGGACACCCATTCTCTAGCTGTGGGGTGGTGGGTTGCTAAAGGCTTGCATCTGCTCCCTTCTGGGGATTTAAATGACACCCACCCACCTCCAACCTGACAGACAACCACTGACTAGATGGGTGTGAAACTTGGCCCTCTTGCTCGCCCACCCACCAAGCCCACGTGGAATCGCAGAGACATCCCCCTGTTTGTGAGGAGGGCCCACTCACCTGGCCTGAGGACCTCCTCTCTGAGCTTCTGCCATGTCCTGCACCCTGAGCTGCCTCGGCCCCACAGAGCGCTGGGAAATCAGAACATCTTTACAACGTTAGACTTTGGATCTCTTCCCTCCTGGACCCACCCCCTGCTTTACGCCCAGCTGCGTAAAGCTGTCAGAACTTCTCCCATCCCCAAACGCAGGCAGGGGAACATTTTAGTGCCCATCATCTCTTTTTTTTTGGTTGCAAAGACGACATTGACAGTTGATCCTGTTTATGATCTTGGCATCAAGGTGCTTGTAATCGTCACAGAGTCAGAGGCTGAGTGTTTTGAAAGAATCTTTTTAATTTTGGTAAATTTCAAGCATTACAAAAATGGAGAGAATGATGTCACAATCCCCCCTCATCCCGCCCCCAGGCCAGGGCCGTCATTGGTTCTTGACTGGCCTTGTTCTCCTGGCTGGTAAGCAAAACCCAGACATCCTGCCGTTCCGTTTGTAAGCACTTTGCTGTTTACTCTAAGGACTCAGACTCTTTAGAAGTAGGACCGCGTGATCACCACTGTGTAACTTAAATGGAGTCCTGGTGTCCACCGAGGGGTGCTCAGTGCAAAAGCCCGCAGCCCTGCAGATCTCTGCTGTGCATTTAGAAACCACTTGAGTCCAGGAAATACACTAGGGGTTAGAAACGCCTGTTCTCATCCCAGCTTTAGTACTCACTAGGTATAAAGTACCAAGTCCATGTTCAAGTTTATCCGATTGTCCCACAGACGATTTGTTGGCATCGGGATCTGGGCATGGCTGGTGGATCGCATCAGGCAGCCCTGGGCAAGCTCTCTGGCTTTGCCCTGGCGCCCTCTCCCACCCCTCCCCGCGCCCCTGAGCACGGTGCCCGCTCCGGGATCTGCAGGTCCTCTGAGAGCTTCTTCGGGTTCAGGAGGTGGGGAGCTGGGCTCCCTTTTCTGTCTGGCTTCTCTCTCCAGCTTCCCGTACTGAAGCAGGGAAGCACCAAGCAAGGCTTCTCAGACGGTCCCTCCCCAGTGCCCGGGCACAGTGACTTCAACTTGCCGAGCACGGCCTAGCACGTCAGAGCTGGTGCAGGAATCCACCTGCCTGCATTCAAATCTTGATTCTACCACCTTCATAGTCATGTGGTCTTGGGTGAGTTATTTGAACTCTCCGGGACTCAATTTTCCCTTCGGTAAAATGTGCTAATAGTACCTGGGAGTTACTGGAGGGTTAAAGGAGTTTGTGCATGGAAGGTGCCCTGTGGACACCTTGACTTTAGGACTTTTGACCTCCGAACTGGAGGGCAGTAAATTTGTGTTGGGCCAAGCCACTACATTTGTGTTCACGTGTTGTTCAAGTCGCAATAGGGGAAAAGCAGATCAGAGAGGCCAGCCTGCGTTCTGGGTGGGTCAGTGGTGTGACACTGGAAAGGCAGGCATGGGGAGGGCTGGGCAGAGACCTGGAGGGGAGAGAGGACAAGGGCAGGTGAGGCCAATGGGTGGGAGTGGCCTGTAAACAGAGACCTGAAGGAGGATGGGGGTTGAGCAGGGCAAGTGGGAGAGCAGGAGGCAGGCAGGGACAGCTTCCCAGGCAGAAGGGCCTCGCAGAGGTCCTTGGTGGCTGCCAGGTCAAGCGCAAGAGGAGGGTCAAGGCTGTGGGGCTGGGGGCTACCTCTCTGGTGGCTCCAAGAGCTAGAGTTTGTACTTTAGCCTGAGGGCAAAGGAGAGTCTCAGATGCTGTCTGGAGAGCAGTGAGTCAATTACCTTGGCGCTTTAGAAGAAGCCCCAGGCTGTTATCTTTCCAGAGATGGGTTGGACAAGCCTGGGCCATGGGTTGGGTTGGGGGCAGGGTCCTGAATGCCAGGATGCAGGTGACAGATAATGACCAGTCAGAGTCTGGGGGGAAGGTCGGAGGAGACTGGGTTGAGTGGAAAAATCGAGAGCGAGGAGAATCCAGGGGGCAGAGGGCACGTGGGGCTGAGAGAGGAGAGACGCATGCTGGGCTTCTGGCTGGGGCAGCAAAGTCTGTAGTGACACCCGCTGTCATCAGGGACACCCGTGGGAAAGGGGCTTGTGTTGATGATATAAATTCCTCCCCAGTGGGGCATGGAAGGAGGTGCTGGAGCTGCCTCAGAGAAGAGATCTGGGGGGGAGGCAGAGGGTGGGGACAGATGGCTAATGTGAGCTCTGTGAGGGCAAGGACCTTGGCTAACATCTGCTGTCCCCGGAGCCAGGACTTATCATAGGCATCCAAACGCCGCTGCTGAGTAGATGGTTAAATGAAAGCAAAGCAGCTTGAGATCACACAGGGCTGTGTGCTGTGCACAGAGGAGCAGGCGACATTAAAGAAATGGCTAGAGTGATCATGTTTAAAATCAGGGCTTTAAGAAGCTCACTGATTCTGGTGACAATGAGATCAGTGACAGAGATTTCAGTGGGTCAGGAAGTGGGGACTGTGGTAAGGAGAGGACAGAAAACCCAGAGCTAGAGGGACGTAGGGGACAGGATGGTATTTTTAAAAACTGGGAGCAAATGAAATACAACCCATTTTCACATCTGCCAAGTATAAATGAGCAGAAACGTAACTGTGGTGGGTAGATTCTAAGGGCCCCCCACTCACCTTTCTCTTTGAGAGTGGGTGGGACCTGTGACTTGTGTCGACCAGAGAGCTTGTTACAAAGAGATGGGCGGTGGCTTCTGTCATATCATTACTTTGTTATGAGGACTGCCTCCTGCTAGCAGGTGGCTCTGGAGAGCTGGCTTTGGAGAGGTTGATGGGGTCAGAGGTCCATGGGGCCCAAGAAGCCAGCCTCTGGGGCCACAGGCAACTGAACCTCATAGCCAGAAAGAAGCTGGGGCCCTCAGCCCCAAAGCTTCAAGGGAACGAATGCTGCCCTCAGCCTGAGTGAGCCTGGAAGCAATTCTTCACCATTTGAGCCTCCAGATGAGAGCGCAGCCCGGTTGCCCCCTTGACTGCAGCCTGAGAGTCGCAAGGCAGAGGACCTCCCTGGGCTGTGCCCGGATCCGGACCACAGGCACCGCTTGATAGTGACTGTGTGTGGTTTTAACCATTAGGGTTTGGGTTCTGCAGAAACGGGTCAGTAAGACGGTACCGCTTTCTAATTTTAGCTCCACCTTTTAAAGCAGAGGTGACAACATACAGTGGAGTGTTTGAGTGCATCCAGGTAATTTTTACTCAACCACATCCTCATGGCTCAGATCAGGACACAGAGATGCCCCACGCCCTGCTCAGTCAGTACTGCTGTTTCCTAGGGCAGTCAGCTGTGATGACATTTGGCACCATTCGTTTTGGAGGCCCGTCCTCAAAGTTCATATCAACAGAACGAAACTCCCAAAGTTTGCCTTTGTTTTTTTCAGTTAGATTCATCCATGTGTTGGATGTCGATTGGTGGTTCTTTCACATCGTTCCTTTTGAATCTGTCTACTGTAATTTAATTACCTGTCCTAGGACTGATGGACATTTGAGAAGCTCAAGTTTTATTATGAATAAAGGTGTCATCCAGAGCTCTTGCACCTGTCTTTTGGTGACGTTCACTCATTTCTGTTGGGTATGTATCCAGGAATAGAATGTTGGGTTAGAACACGTGCATAGGGTTCGCTTTAGTAGATCTGGCCAAACTTTTTTTTTTTTTTTTTTCCCAGTGTAGTCATTTCATTATCCTGTCACCAGCAATGCAGAAGAAGCTGAGTCCCCAAACCCACTGGTGTTAGAAGTCAGTCCTTTTAATTGTAGGCCTCCTGGCACATTGTGGAATCTCCTTGGAGTTTTAATTTATGTTTGTCTAATGACTAATGATGCTGAACACATTTAATGGCTTTTTTTTTTTTTTGGTACCAGGGATTGAACCCAGGGGTGCTTCACCAGTGAGCCACATCCCCAACCCTTTTTATTTTTTTCATTGTGAGACAGGGTCTCACTAAGTTGCTTAAGGCCTCACTAAGTTGTGATCCTCCTGCCTCAGCCTCCCAATCCAAGCCACTGGGATCACAGGTGTCTGTCACCGTGCCTGGCTTTAATTAATGCCCATTTGGACATCCTTCTTGGTGCAGTGGCTGCTCAAGTCCTTTGCCCATTTTAAATTAGGAGTCTATCTTTTCTTTACTTATTCCTAGGACTTATTTACATATCCCTTCATGTGAGATCTCTGTCAGATATTTGATATTTCAAAACATTTTCCCTTGTCTGTGGTTTGCATCTTCACACTCCTGATTTTTTGCTAAACTGGAGTTCTTAATTTTAATAAATTCCAATTTATCAGTCTTTTTGTTTATGAAAATTGTTTTTTTTGTGTGTGTCCAGCTTAAGAAATCTTTGCTTATCCTAAAGTAATAAAGATATTTTTCTTATCTTTTTAGAATCTTGTTTTAATTTTAAAGTTTGGATCCAGGACTCATTTAGAATAAATTTCTATGTATGGCACAGGGTGGAATTAAAGTTTTTTTTTTCTTTTCTATACCAATATCCAATTTCCTCTGGAACCATTGATTGAAAAGAACATGCTTTCTCCATTGGACTGCATTTGGGCCTCTGTCATAGCTCAAATGACTCAGTGAAGGTCTCTTTCTGGGCTTTGTTGTTCCATTGGTCTGTTTGTTTATTTTTGCATTAAAAGTATGTTTTCTGAATTATTGTTTTACACTATGTCTTGAAGTCTGGTCATTTCAGTCCTCCAACTTTGCCTGTCTTTTGAGTTTTTCTTGGGTCTACTAGGTCCTTTGAATTTCCACATGAATGTTAGAATTAGCTTGTCAATTTCCTCTCGAACAGATCACTGGAATTTTGAATATGATTCTATTGACTCTACGGATACATTTTGGAGAAGGATGACATTTTAACAAATCAAGCCATCCATGAACATAGTATATCCCTCTTCATTTATGTAGACCTTCTTTAAATTCTTTTAATAGTTCTGTAGCTCCCAGCATTCTTCATCTTCATGGACATTACACCTCTACCTCTCTTTGCCTCTCAGTGCTGGAAAGATTAAACTTGCAAATTCAGGATAACTCAAGTCACTTGTATGACTTCCAATTTACAAGTTCTGTTCTTTGTGGCCTCTGCTGAAGTCTCTCAGTGGTGGACACTGTCCCTTTTATTTGCTGTAAAGTCTTCAAAAATCCACATTGCACATCTGGCCCTCCCTGGAATGCACGTGGGGGCACAGTCCAGGCACAGCTGCAGCCATCTTTACACTGTGGCTCCATGCTGTCTGGACAGGGGACATCTCTAGGGGACCTCCAGTCTCCTCAAGTTCCAGACTGGGATTCGAGGGAGTAACCCAGCTCTTTAGTTCCTCCTAACTAATCTGTGGTATGTGGCCCCCTCACAACCTTTGAGGGACTTAGTTAGCAGTGGACAGTGGGCTGGGCTGTGACCTCAACTTGGGGCTAACCTCCCTCTTCTTTCAGTTTCTCCTCTTTACCTCCCAAATTTCTTCCCTTCTTCTCAGGACCTCTGATAAACCTAAGTCAACCCTTAGAAGTTCCTGAGGTTAAAAAGTAAGTCATTGCAATGAGACAAGCTTGAAATTTAAGCCACACAGTTTATTTTCCTCTGTGGTATGGATGAGACAAACCACGCATCAGGACCTGTGGATACTGGGATGAAGGTGTCTCCACGTCCCTGGGAGACCCAGTCCAGGTCCCATGGACACCTTCAGGGACAGCCTTGTTCCTCAGGCAGTGGGGGTGGGGGAGGAGCATGGAAAGGTACAGAAGGGTCCCCAGCCACCCTGGGAAGGGAGGACAGCTTCATTGTGTACCACAACATTCTGGAACATTCTGGGTTCTGAACTTTATGACCTTCCAAAGTCCTGTGGGCTAGGCTAGGTCTCAAACTGAGTCTCCACCGAGGTTGGGATTTCCCCCAGGGAGCAGAGAGAAACCCTGAGCAGCACCAGGGGACATCCCTGGAAGGGTGGGTAGGGCTCAGGGACCGAAGGACATGAACCCTGGATATCAGCCTAGCATTTCTTAGGAAAGAAACCACTGGGGAACACTTAGTGCCACCACATGTGTGGCTTGGAGGGGACATCTGGGGAAGGGCTGCCCTACATGAACAAGGCGGGGGTGGGGAGAGTCCGAAGAGAGGGTAAAGGCTGGACTCCAACCTGTGTGAGTCACAGCTTGCTACTCGGAGGACTCCTTGGGCATATATGCCACATTGTCATAGGCAGGGGGCGGGGAGGCTGCTGGGCTGGGGATGTTGAAGTCTGTGCTGAAGGCATTTGGCAGGAAAATCACAGACTGCGAAGAAAAGGAACCGAGTCAAAGTCCTGGAGCCCTCTGAAGCCTTCGGGGTGTGTTACAGTAGTGCCCTCTTGTGGGCACTCTGAGAGCAGCACCCTCGAGACGCATCCTGCAAGCCGGAACTGCAAACTCGGAATTTGTCATTCACTCAGCCAATATTTAGGAAAATATTTGCTGGGTCCAACTACGACCCAGACACTGGGAACACAGCAGTGAGCAAAGCAGTAAAATCCCATTTCTCTAGGAGCTAACCCCCCCACGTGTGTTCCCTCGGGACTGTCCCTGTCCTGATTGAGGACTTCCATTCACAGGAACTGCTGGCCCATAGCTCTGGCCTCCAGCCTCCTGCATTTGGCAAAGCCTCTGCACTGTTTTCCTGAACCCAGCTCACTCCCCTGCTCAAGACCTTCAGGAGCCCTCCCACCCGACCCCCGGCAGCCATCCCCACCCCTTGCGCTTCATTTTCCTGCCCAGGCAGCTTTTGCTTTAAGTGATTCCTCGACTTTGGATGCTCTCCATGGCCCCCCTTTTGATTTCCCTGTTCTCCATCTTCTCGGAAAATAAGCTCAACTTCCACCCCAGACATGCTGCCTCCTCCGACGTCCGTGTCTGCCTTATAGTGAATTCCTGGAGAGACCCCCAATCCCAGCCCAAGCTTTGGCTCAGCCCGCAGGCTCAGCGCAGCGGCGCCCCCGCGTGGCCACGGGGTGAACAGTCTCATCTTCAGGGATGTGCGAGGACTTGTTTGGGTCTCCATGTCGCTGCATGGCAGTCCCTCCGCGTGCTTCCCAAAGGGAAGCAGGAGGAGGCTGGAGGCAGGGAGCCTTCCCTGCCCACAGCTCTCCCTAGAGGGCCATATACGACTTGGCGTGGGGTGGGAGTACTCACCGCGTTGGCTTGGGCGCGTGTGGCTTGACACCCAAAGTGGGTGGCAATGACTGCGATGAAGAATTCCAGGATGGTGAAGATGGTGAGCACTGCCAGATAGCCCCTGCCCACATCCTGGGGACCAAAGCCCACAGTCAAGGCAAGCCACAGTCAAGGCAAGCCTGTGACAAGCACCTCCCACCCCAATGGGAATACCCGGTGCAAGGTTGCCGCGTGGTGTCAGCTGTGCCTGGAACCATTCTTCCTGGGCCATCCTGCACCCTCTTCACCCTCCCAGGCTGCTTCCCTGTTCCCCTTGGTGCCCGTTTGTGGGGTCGGTCATGGGGGTCACATACTTATGGGATCTATCAGGTCTGACAGGCCCTCAGTACTCTGGGACTGCAAACTGTCACTTCCCGTCCCCTCCTGGGTGTGGCTCTACTATTCTCCAAGTTGGGGGCACTGGCGACACACCCAGTTAGTGACACCAAAATCCATGAGCAGAATGGCCGTTCCAGCAAAGGCCGCCATGGCGCTGAGAATGTTGGTCCCCAGGCTGCTCCGCACCTGCAGGACGGAGAGGGACATGAGGGAAAAGACCAGGGCAAAGAGACAGAGAGAAAGGACAGGGGCGGCAGCTGGCCACGCCAGCCTCCTCCACCCTGCCTCAGGGCCCTGCTCCCTGTGCCTGGCTGCTTTCCTGCATTGTTCTCCTCTCCTCTTCGTCCCTGGGGCCTCAGAGGATGCCCTCTGCTTCCCTTTCCTTCTGGAAGCTGCTAGGGAGAAGGGCCTGGTCACCTTCATGGCCTCCCTGGGCGGGGTTGGCAGCAGGCCTCTGCCTCCCTCCTGCTGTGGAAAGAGCTCAGGTGGAGGCCGTTGTGAGAACTGTCTGCCCACCAGGCCCAGCAGGGCTGCCTTTCTCTGAGTGACGGTGAGCACTGCATCCCTGGACGCCCCCTTTCTACCCTGGATTGTATTTGGAAGTGTGTCCTGTCTCCTCCTGTCCATGTGCACTTTATGTCTGGTTGTCCTGTCTCTGGCACTAAGCAGATGCCCAGGAAACGCTTGTCGAATGAGCCACATGACGGAGTGGGCAGGTTGGGGGAGCTGAGTGGAATCCGCCTTGGCCCCCTCTGCCCCTGGTCCCCACCGCCATTCACACTTACCAGGCAGCTGGTGTGGTTCTTCTCGGCTGCCACAGAGAGGGACCCAGAGATGATGAACTGTGGGAAAGAGGGGCCCAGTGAGGCTTCGGCAGGGACACTGTCCAGGGCACATCTTGCCAGGGCTCTGTGAAGAGGTCACGGGTACCAGGGATAGGGCAGCAGCTGCTTCCTGGCCACCAAGCTGTCTGCCTTCTGGCCAGGCACCTCGGGGTCTCTCTCAAGGGTCTAAAGGAGTCTGTGAGGGTCTGTCCAGGGAATTGGGGCCAGCGCCTCCAAGGTAAGTGTTCCCACTGACATCATATCACGGCTTCATGAGGAAGACTTTGTTGTTTTTTAACATTCGTGTATCCAGCATGTACTAAGTGGCGGCCATGTGCCAAGAACATGACAGCTGGAGAAGATGGACAGGGTCCCTGCTCTGCTGTCACGGGGCTTCTGTCCTGTTGGGCAGCACAGACACTTCACAAACACTGGAGAAAGGTAGGGGGAGTAGTGACCAGGAGCCGCTGGGGGTACTTGAGGTTGGAGGATGGACATGAGAGGGCTCTGAGCTGCAGGGAGAGGTGCAGAGTTTGTGGGGTGCAGAGGCTGGCTCCAGGGATGGCTTCCGAGGGACCAGCCTCATGGCGCCCATGTGCTGGGCAGTCGTCTCTAGGCTGGCTCTGTGACCGGCTGGACTGCGGGCAGGTGGCAGTGGCACTCAGTGGTTCTGGGTCCCGCACTCAGCAGGCCTGGCAGCTTGTGGTTCGCTGCTGCCATGCTGGAGAGGCGCAGGGACGGGTCACATGGAAAGGCCAGAGGGAGGCGGTGAGGTCCCAGAGGCCCTGGGGACACAGGGGGTCAGGACTAGGAGGGAGCCACCACAGCCGTCCAGGCAGTGAGCACCAGGGTGTGCGATAGAGGAGGAGAGGTGGGCAAGCGCAGGCCTTGCTCTGGAGGGCAAGTCCATGGGCCCGCTGGTGCGCTGATGTGGGAGTGGGAGGAGGAGTCCAGGATGACTCTTGGCATGTTTTTGGCTTTGGCAACTGGTGGATGGCGGTGTCTTTTGCCAAGATAAGGGAGGAGTAGGGTTGGAAACGGGGCAGGAACTGAGCTTAGTTTTGAGATGTGGAGTTGCCTCTTCAGCATCAACTGGCTGTGTCAAGATGGCACTGGATTTAGAGTCCAGCTCCCAGCGCTGGAGGCCAACAAGAGAGGCAGTGACTGGCCCAGGACTGCACAGAGGAGTCCCAGCTGGAGCCACATCTCAGCTGTCCTGTCTCCTTCCTTCTGTGCCCATGGGGACTCCTGTGAACCTCTGAGGAAAGCTATCCATGTGTACTTTCTGGGGTCCCCAGAGGCCAGCAATGTGCAGAGCCCATGGAATGATTAGGTGTTGAGGCTGGGGAAGTCCTGCCTGGGTCTCCCGACCCTGATGTCTCCTGAACTTGAAGAGCAGGTTCTTATTTTAATTTTTCCCTTCCACCAAGTTTGACGTCTCTCTGAGGCATGTTGTGTGATACAGCCTGGCAGGAGGGAGCTCAGGAAAGAAGGGGACTCCTTTCTTTCTCCCTGTTGTGATTTTTTTCTTGTAAAGTGTCCAGCTTGCCCACATTTTCCTCCAACTTTGGGTCACTCTGGGCCATTAAGAGTTAGCGCCGGTCCCCAGGCATGGCCAAGTGACCATCCTTCTCTAGCCATGGCGTGTCAGCAATTTTGGCCTCTCTGGACCCTATATTTTGGGCTGTTTGGCCTCTTGCTGGAGGCCGCCTGGACAGGGGAAGAAAGATGCTATGTCTGTGTTTGCTTCCCCAGGAGGCCCTCCTGCAAACCTGACTCTCTCTCCATAAGGGGAGTCCTCACAAATGACAGTCACCATTAGCTGCAGAACTTGAGGGCTAGTCACTGGCTCTGTTCTGTATTATCTCTCGATTTCCTCAGCAAACTACGGAATGGTCAGGGCTGCCGCTAGGAACCCAGTTCTTAGTTGAGGAAGTTGAGGCTTGAGTTTCAGTGACTTGCCTAAGGGACTTCATGATAATAAGTGGTGGGACTGGGATTCAGACCCCACTGGCCTGACCCCAAAGCTTTTGCCAAGGCGTGAACGGTGTTCACTTTGCAAACACTGAAAGGCGCCTTTCCCACTGGAGATGAGAAGGAGGCCCTCACCTGGTTCTCCAGCAAGGGTGGGCAGCTGGCCAGTGAGGTGTGGTCAGAGGAGTGGGCTCAGGGCTTTCTGGGCTTTCTGAGCTGGTCAGACTCCCTGGGGCAGAGTTCAGAGGGAGCCGAGGGGTTTGGATGTGGGGTGAGCCTTAGGCTCAGGTGGTAGGCATGTGGCTGTGCCATCCTTTTTTGGCAGCCTGCTCTGGCTCTTTCCTGGAACCTTCCCTACCTAGGAACTGACGGTCAGGCTCAGGTTTGGGGTCAGGAGTTGGACTTAGGCTCTGGTTCTTGTAGGAAGTGCTTTAGGTCCCAGCTAGGAGGAGATGAGCCCAGGACAATGTGGGGGTGAGGCAGGGGGACCAGTGAGACTGGGTGGGGGCCCTCAGATGGCCCCGCACTCACGCAGGCTCCTCCCCAGAAGGGGACGCCGCCTTCGATGAAGAGCATCCCCAGGTGGCCGCGGCGGACCATGAGCAGCACGCTGCCGAAGCCCAGGTGGATGAGGCCGATGAGGATCTGCGCCGTCTGCGGGAAGCAGCCAGGGCTCAGCCCGCGGGCCGCCGGCTCCGCGCCGCCCCCTGCCGGCCCGGGAGGAGAGCGCGGCCGGCCAAGGAACTCAGATCCCATTCTTTGGAGGCGACATCATTATAACATCCGTAAGAGACAGTTTTAAGAGAAAGCCAGCTCCCCGCAGCCACGGGACCCACAGGGCAACGATCCCCGCGGCTGCATCTGCTTTGTGGTCTGAGTCCTGCTTCTCCAGCATGGCTCTGTGGCTCTCTGGTTTTCCTGGTCCCAACACTCTGCACTGACCGCCTCACTTGCCCTTCCTGTCCCCTGCTGTCTGCAATAAACATGGCCTCGAGCATCCTTTTCATTTCGCAGTCTCTCCCTCATCCATCCCAGTTTGGGTGGGCATGTCCACAGAAGGCAAATGCCTCATCTCACTCCATCCCCACAAACTGGCGCCTAGCTGCAGCCAGTCAGGCGATATCGCCACCTGGCTCCTGGGTTCCCCTGTGGCCACTCCCCCTGCTGGGTGGACCTCCCTGCATCCCTTCTGGTTCTGACAGCTGCCCGATTCGTGAATCATTCTTTGCTCAAACAAACAGTTGAGTGTAGTTTGTTTAAAGATTTTCTTTTAAGCAACACGCAAGGGCGTGTCCGTCTATCCAACCATCCAATATTTTATTCCCTCCAAGAGAATAATATCTCAATGCCACCGAGACTGGAATAGAGCAGTGAAGGTCATCATTGCTGTCAACGACAGGAGCTGGCTCTTGGCTACACTGTCTTGGTCCCCTGGTCCCCTGTCCGTCCTTCCTCTGCTCATTACATCCCAGCCCTATCAACCTTCTGTCTCCTTCTTGAACAAGCCACCTCCCTCCCACCCAGAGGCCTTTACACTTGCTGTCCCCTCACCCCGAGGATCCTTCCCCTCACCCACCCTGGGTCAGATCTTCCCTCGACTGCCTTCAACCTGACATTTAGGTTTTAGCTTCAAGGTTAGCTCCCCAGGAGAACTTCCCGGCCCTTGCTGGTGTTGCCCCTCCCCCACCCTCATCAGCCTCATTAGTTCTCTGAGTCATTTGTCCCCCCCCCCCCCCCCCGTGAGCCCCGCGGGGGGGGAAGGGTCCTCGGCTCTTTGGTGCAGGACCCAGACCACCTCAAGTATCTGACCACTGCCTGCTGCCCCTTCCCGGGTGTCCTGGATGCCCCGCGGCTGGGCGCCCACTACCTGCCCAGCACCTAAGCCTCAGATCTTCGGGAGTTGCAGCTCTTACCCCTAAAGCTTTGGGCTCTCCGGTCAGAAAAGTCTCCACTGGACGCAGGTCGGGCTGCTGGGTGGCCCTGGGCGCCTGCGCCCCCAGCGGTGGTTCCTCGAACTGCACGACCCCTGGAGGCTGGCACATGGACGGGGGCAGAAGGGCGGGAGGTGGGCGGAGGCCGCTGGCATTGCTGGGCGGGATGACCACGAATACCCCGTTGCTGGCGGGAGGCGCGGACATGGTGCTCAGGGGGCCTGGGAAACAAAGGCTCGGGATAATAATGTACCGATGGAGGCTAGACGCTAGCATAAGGCTTCGTGTCTTTCCTTACTGAAGGCAGGATGTGGTCCAAACCTCTGGTCATACTGAGGAAGCCGAAAATTAAGGAGTGGAGGTAGGTCCCAGGACAAGGGCTCACAGGCAGATAAGCCCGACACTTAACTCAGGTCTCTTTGATGTCAGAGGTCCTGACCTTAAACTCTTGTGCTGTATTATGTGAAAGGCACCCCCCACCCCTTTATTTTTGCTACACTGGAGATCAAACTGAGAGCCTTCTGTAGGCGAGGCAAGAGCTCCCCACAGAGCTACAATCCCAGCCCAAGGGGGACATTCTGAAGGAGCAGGTACTTAAACATACTCATTTCCCCAGAGAGGGTAAGTGACTTTACCAAGTACACACAGCTAGTGCAAGGTAGAGCTTAGCCAGAGAGCCAGCTTCTTTACCCTTAGTTCAGGACTTACTCTTCCCTTCCTGCCTCTCAGTCTGCAGCTGTTGAACTTGTGCAAATAATTCCCCTGGGTGGGTTCCTGCTGTGGGAGCCCTTCTCTTTGACAAATGTTATTGTGTTGCTAAGATGACACGGGTTATGGAAACATTGGGTATGGATGGTCTGGGAAAACATTTGAGAGAAACCATCCATTAGCCAGGTGTCGGAAATGAGTTAACCAGGAAAAAGCAGGGTGATCCGTCTGGTGGATTTTACGACATTAAACACAGTCAACCTTCTTGTTGGCCTTCTGAGCAGAGTGCAGCATTTCAGGACACAGCTCTGGACACCGGCAGATTTTGGTCACCTCCCCTTGCCTCAGTTCCCTGACCAGTAAAGTGGGGATAATAACACTGGTACCAGCCTCATAACACCCCATCAAAGCCATTCCTTACCCTGCTTAGGCACAACACTCATTGCCTGAAATATTTTCTTTCTTTTTTTTGGTATTAGGATTAAACCTAGGGACACTCAACCGCTGAGCCTCATCCCCAGCCCTAGCCCTTTTTATTTTTTATTTAGAGACAGGGTCTTGCTAAGTTGCTTAGGGCCTTGCTAAGTTGCTGAGGCTGGCTTTGAACTCGTGATCCTCCTACCTCTGCCCCTCCAGAACTACTGGGATTACGGGCATGCGCCATTGCGCTCAACTCCTGAAATATTTTCTTAAACATAACACATATATGTACATGTGCATCTGTGTGTGCATATATTACACCGGATACACATGTGTGTACCAGTCGCTTAAAATGAACAGCTAGTGTGTGTTTCTAGTGCCCTGAGAGCTATTGCGCATGTCCACCGGGAGGCAGCAGCTCACAGACTGTGCAGCAATTTCTCTGCAGGCCTCGGCGGGTGGGTCTGCCCGCGATGCTGGGGTCCTTGGGTTTGCCTCCTGTGTGTCCTCTGGGCAGCCTGTGCTGTTTGCTCTGGGACAGGTCTGAGCTCTGTTGGAGGACATGCTAGGCAAGTGTCAGTGTGGGACCTGCAAGAGTGAACCAGACGGGAGAGCAGCACGGGCTGTTGGGCGAGGCCTGCAGGGACTGGGGACTCTGGAGACACCGAGGACACACTGGGTGACAATCTGCAGCCGCGGACATTATCTGTTCACTGTAAGTGACTGGTTTATATGTATTAAATTTGAGGCCAGTGGTGTTATAACAAACCACATGGAGAACGAGGTGTAAGTCACTGCACATTTGAAGGGCTTGCTAACAAGGCTTCCTCCAGCCAGGGTGCTGTGACAACACGTGACAGCAGGAACAGGTCTCCATAGGGATTATGCACTGACCTCCCACACAACGCTCACTCTGTTGGGGGCTCTCATCTGCATGAACCCACGCTAAAACAATTATTAGCAGGCATGAACATTGACTAGAACAGGATTGGCGAACTTTTTCTCAATCAGTGAATATTTGGGGCCTTATGGAACCACGTGGCTTCTGTTGCAATTAGGAAACTCCTCTGCTATAGCGCAGAGCAGACATAGGTGGCACACACACAAATGGATGAGGCTGTTTCTGTGAAGCATTATTGACAAGAGCAGGCGGTGGGCCATGTGTGATCAGTGGACTGCAGCGTGCCATCTCTGTTCTTAGAACATGGCCTGGCACACAGTAAGTGCTCAGTGAAATTCACCTACTGCTTTAAATAACTGCTGCGTACAGTGATTATTTGCTGGGCAAGATGTGAATATGCAGTGAGCTGTCCTACCTTTCTATATAATAAGGGGAATGACGGCTGCTGCTATAGTTTGGATCCCAAATGCTCTTTTGTTAAATGCCTGGACTCCAGCTTGGTGCTCTTGGGAGGTGGTGGAGGCTTTAAGGTGGGACTTGGCCAGGCGCAAGCTTACAATCCCAGCAGCTCAGGAGGCTGAGGCGGGTAGATTGCAAGTTCAAAGCCAGCCTCAGCAACTTAGTGAGGCCCTAAGCAACTTAGTGAGACCCTGTCTCAAAATAAAGAATAAAATGGGCTGGGGATGTGGCTCGGTGGTTGAGTGGCCCCAGTTCAATCCTGGTACCAAAAAAAAAAAAAAAAAAAAAGGAAAAGAAAGAAAAAAGAGAGAGAGGCGGGACTTGGGGGAGGTCCTTAGGTCATTGGGGGTGTATCCATGAAGGTGACTGTGGGATCCTGGACCCTCCTCTTCCTCTTTCCTTCCTGACTCTAAGGGGCCTGGTCTTCCTCGGCCTCATGCTCCTGCCATGATGTGCTGACTCATCACAGGCCCAAAAGCAACAGGGCCAACTGATGGATCATGGACTGGAACCTTCAAAACTGTGAGCCAGAATAAACCTTTTGTCTTTATAAGTTGATTATCTCAGGCATTTGTTACAGTATTGGAGAGCTGGCTCATACAGCTGCCCTCTTGCCTCAGAGGTTGTTAGGATCACTGCAAAAATGGACAAGAATGTCCTGGAAGATAGGAAAAGAGCAGTGAAGGGCTGTGCTCAGGGTGACTTGGCTAGTAAATGGCAGGGTGTGGAGTCAAGCCTACGCGTGTCCCAGCCAAAGCCTGTGTTTGTCCCCAGGGGCTGCCTCGAGGGGAAGTCACGCTGTTCTTTGACCATTGGTCTGGCCCACATGTTCTGGTTGCCTTCAGGTCTGGTGTGGCCACATGACTTGTTTTGGTTAAATGAGTGTCTGAGTGGAGGGTCTAGTGGTCAGTGCAGGACCCCACAGAGCTCCTCTTCCCTGTGTCACAGTGACTAGCAAAGTTCCATGCAGAGGGCATTCTGTTTACCTGGGCCCCTGAGTAAGCAGGACGTGGAACCCGAGGAAGAGATCAATCTTTGTTGTTTTAAGCCATTAAGATGTTTGTTACAGCAGCATAACCTGGCTTCTCCTGACTGCTACCTCCTCCAGAAATGAATATCTGTAACTAACACACACACACACACACACACACACACACACCACAATCCATGCCCTCGAGGAGCCTAGAGTCTGGAAGGAGGAGCAAGAGAGATTTGCAATTCAGTTCCACAAACAATTATTGAGCATTTACTGTGTGCACTGGGCTCAGGTCCTGGGAGTCCCTGTGAAGTAGAAGAGACCACTGCCAGGAGAGAGAGGCTGGGGAGATGGGGGAGGCGTCCCTGATGGACCTCAGGGATGTCTTCAGGGGGGACAGGGCCTAAACCGGTGACCCTGAGACTGCTCTTCTCACCCCCTCCTGCAGGCTCCTTCCCTTCCTTCCGTCTGTCTGTCCTACCCACTGGCCTTTTCCCTCCCTGCCAGACATATTTGGGAAGATGAGGCAGTTTCTGGGGACATCAGTAAATAAAGACTGTCTGCCCTAAGAGTCCATGAAAATGGGATGAGAGAGACCAAGGGCAGGAAGATGGAGAATCTAGTTGAGGATGACCCACCCCATCGACAGGCTTTTGACTTTCTCAGGTGTGAATAAAGGATATTTACAGCCCTCATCTCACTCTGAGAGAGAGTCTGGCATAGATTATTAGCTGTGCTTTAGAGAAGAAACAGATTCAGAGAGGGTGAGTGTCACCCTCCTGGTCACACAGCACCTCAGTGGCAGAACTGGGATGGATCTTAGAACACCACCTCTCAGTAGGAATGACAGTGACATTATGGGATTCATACACTTCTGGGTTAGAAGCAGGCTTTCTTGGAGTGAGGGGACTGATGCTTGAACTTGACTCCTTGAGGAAGGTTCCAGATCATCAAGTTAAAAACCAGTGGGGGTGAATGCATCTGCCAGCTCCGCCTTCTCTGAGGAGGTTCATTAAGGCAAAACCATGTTCTCACTTTCATCTGGAAGGACATCTTAACAGCAGCAGGGCAGGAAGGACACCATTTAAAGGCGCAGACCTAACTCGGGAAGGCTCACCACTGGGTAGATGTCATTTCACGGGGAAAGTTGAAATCTGCATCTGAGACCCACGGTGGGTTGTGGGTGCCCTTGTGGACCTTCTCTGGGGCCAGGAGGGCTCTGGGATCTCCTCAGGGCTGAGCCACCCAGAAGGAGGCGCATGTGTAATTAGCAGCACCTCTCTCCGGTGGGTGGTGAGAAGTCTGATAAAACAGACCTCGTGATCCTGGGGGCGGGGGGACGAGAAGACACCTGCAAAAATAGGCTCTCTGCCCCAGGCAGGTTACGTGGCAATCACAAGCAGGAAAGTGTCACAGAGTTCCTGAGACTCAGGAGCCGCTCTCTCCCCACCCTCTGCAGCCCTGGGTGAGGGATGGGCCCATCTGCTACTTTCGAGACCCACCTGGTCTCTGTGCCATTCTAACCAACCTCGTGCCCCAACACTGCTGCGTGCGTGGCAGGCACAGGCAGGTGGAAAAGAGGGAAGGTCACAGCCCTCACCTCCAGGAGTTACGTGGCAGCCTCCTTCCTGTACAGAGACAAAGAAAACACCCTGGCCTAGGTAGACATGAGGGGTCAGCTGTAGTGACAGCTGTGATGGCCCCTTGTGTGCACAGCCCTTCACAGTTTACAAGCTCTCACAGAGA